GGAAAAAACCACTTGCATGCTTAGTTAGGAAAAAGAGTCGGCCATTGAGTGTTTGTAAGTATAAAAAATAAACTTTTCCTCACCTACTATTGTGCCATTATATTGTTTAGTTATCGCCTACATACCACGCAATAGTTTGGGTCACTAAAAAATCATTAGACTTTAACAGTATATTCAAAATTTTGAGTGATTTTTCTGGTTCTTGAAACTCCACTCTTTAAAACCCTACTTATATAAGCACAAATTTTCTGTCGGACGCTGTCTCATTTCACAAGACACCCATGACATGTCATGGTGAAATTATGGACCATTCTAGCTAATATATATACTGACATACATCGTACAATTTTTCTAATTAACGCCAACCCAATTTAGGGTTTAGTTTTAGGTTATACAGTAAGCAATTGCCATGATCTTTTCACTTAGGCTTGATCAGGTTATATTGTTAGACTATTAATCGACTATCACTCACTGGGTTAGATAAATTGTGTTTGCATGTGTATATACTTCTTATAAATTAATAAGAGGGCGTGCACTTAATTAAAATATCTCCAAACACTACTGCTGTTATATTTATGTGTCGAATGTGCTCATGGGAATGTATGTATTGTTATGTTGGTTTCAGATTCTCAGAATCCGCAATATGCCTCAACCGAAACAGAAGCTGGAGTTGTTACTTCAGAAAGCACTCCAGATGCCTAAAAAGACTCGTTGATAAATACATGATCTGATGAGAAAAAAAATTCAGTTGTATAAACTTTATGATTAAAAGTTATTATGCTCTTCATGAATTGATCCTTACGTTTCTGACGTTTCCGCTGTCACTCAGTCATAAAATTCTTTTTGGGTCGAAATCTGTAACATTAGCTGACTACTGCTTTAAGATTTCGTGTGCTCTGCACAGATATTGCAAGAAAGAGATGATCAACTAATCATTCACATTTTTCTATCAACTACTATTTTGATTTACTTTGTTCATTTAAAGTGTATTATTTCTCTAATAAACATATATGAGGAAATTGTTGTAGTATGAGGCAGCTCGGCAACAACTCACTACCACCAAAGTTCTTGTATAAAAACTATGGGTGTTGGGTCATTCTCTATTCTTCTTGGGTAAAAGGATAAGATAAAATTTCATCCGAAGAGTACTAAATTTCACCGAAGAATGCCAATATCAACTCCCAAAAAGTAAACAACAATACGAAAAATAATAAACAAACTACCAATATAGTGACAACAAACAAACAAAGAAGGGAAACTTTACCTCCTACTACAAGATTACAAAGGAAAACCATAAACTAGTACGAACTCTCTCAAGTTCAGTTTCTCTAAAACTATTAGTTGGAACTCTCTAATTGAGTTCAGTTTCTCTCAAACTATTTTTGACTTAGGCATCGAAGGCCCTTTGGCGGACACTGCCATCATTTTTCGTGGATATTTGTCAATTAGCTAGCCTAGTAGTGATCGTTTTGCAAGTGTGATTTTTGTCAATCTATCCTTGGTGAAAATTTGCATCTACAAATTGATGTTTCATCAGGACATCTGAGCGAAGGAAGTTTATCCAAAAACTTTTCTTCACCCTTCTTCGTTCATCGTTATTCGAACCCTTCGAACCATGGTGAGCACACGGAGAACTACGAGCAAGAACAACGGCCAATCCTTACAAACCGCGATGTGTTGCAACATCTTCGCAACCATCGCTCAATCTGGTGCACCACCATCAATCGTGGCCCACGTTGTTCCTTACATTCGAGGATTGGATCCTCTTTCACCACGAGACGTGATTGCTGGGGCATTGTCGCGGCCCCCAATCGCCATCACCGTTGCTACTAAGATCGTCGCCACACTACCACCCCATGCCACGACATCAACAATAGCAATTGATAGGATTTTTACCACCTGTAAGAATAGGGATAAAAACACTTAAAAATACAAGTAAGAGAACAAGATAATTGTAGTATAAACAGTTCAAGCAGGGGTGTTCTCTACATGGATTGATATAAAACAAGTTTTGGGACAAGATTTGAAATTGCAAATTAAAATAAAAAGACATAAAATAAGAACGAAAAGTTCGCAGTACTGTTCACTTTAACGAAAAATCACATTTTTACACTAAAAGGTCAAACCTGATACTATTCACTTTACTCTTTATTTTGTCCTTATCGTTAAAACTCAAAGTTTTCAAGCTCTTTTCATTAGTTTTCCTATAAAATAATTGAAATTGATTTTAATAAAAACTTCGCAACAAAGAGAACATAAAATAGTTTTGGAAAATCAAATGTAAAATGCACTAGGGTTTAGCCATCACCATTAACAATCCTATGTAGATCTACCAATTACTTGTGAATTACACATGCAAGTTTGAAGGTTTGTAATTTGGTACTTGGTGGAATATCTTGCAAATAAAACTTTGCACAATAGACTAGTCAGATGAGCTAGTCAACTAGGTACAAGTTAGTCAGTGATACAAAGTGCAGTTGCAAGAATAAAATCTAATTAACCAGTATGTTCAACTAATCAGAGTCCGCCCAGATCAGTTTCACAACAACAATTCCTAAACTTGAAAACATTTGCATATCTGTTCATTATGCAATTAGCAATGACAAAACAATTATGATTTAAAGTATCCTGGATTGACTAGTCAAGCTCATTAGTCAACTAAGTACAGATTCGTCAGTTAATCAAACGCAAATCTACGAATCAAACTTGATTCACTACAAGTTATCCTAGTCAGAACAATTCAATTCATTGCTCATAATATGCAGTGTAAACATAGTCACAAACACATATCAAATAAAAGCACATAGGATGCATGAAACATATGCTAGTAAATCAAATATGTGAACAAGTTTAAGAACCAAAGAACTTAAGAAATTTTTGGCTGGAAAAACCCACATCTAGGTTGAAAAGCCGGTGACTCTCCACTAAGTCCAATCCACTAATGCAAATAATGTTCTTACAAAGTATCACGCAAAGCTCAATTCCTAGACCTAGTCTACGGAGCAGCTTTACCTTTGTGCAACCTTACTTTGCACGAGATGAGATTCCTTCAGTCTTTACACATAGCTGTGAGGATAGCTGGAGAAAAACGTGGCCTCCTATGCCATGTCTGGAGTGTAGCCTTAGTACTGAAAAATGCCGAGTGTGGAGAGGTGGAGGGAATGCCTTGGAGAGGGTAGAAACCATCTCTAATTGGTCCTTGAAAAAGCATCCTCCCCGTAGAGCGATCCTTGATTACAGAGCCATCAGAATCAAGAGTTAAAGCACACTTGTTATCTTTTAAAAACTGATAAGCAGAGAGAAGATTGAACTTCATCATGGGAACATGTAGAACATTATTCAAACGAAATGTAGCTGATGGTATTTTAAGCACAGAATGTCCAGAGTGATGAATAGACATACCTTGCCCATCACCAATATACACCTTCTCTTCTCCAGAATAGGGAATGTGGGAATGAATAGCGGAGATATCATTGGTGATATGGGATGTGGCTCCAGAGTCAATAAGCCAAGTAGGAGAGGTAGATTTAGATGTAGTGTGCACACACATAGCAGCTAACTTGGCAGGAGGTATTTTGCCAGCAAAAGCATGATTCATGCTTTCATAACAATCAAGTGCTTCATGCTCAAAGGAATGACAAATTTGACAAGGATTTTTACCACCAGAATAGGTATTATTACGAGAAAGGCCACCAGAATGAGAGCGATTACCAGAGTTATTGCGAAAAGATCCAGAGCCATTGCTAGGATGATTAGAATTGCCACGAAAGTTATTGAAAAACTTAGAAGAGTTACCACGATAGTTACGCTGAAAGGATCCTTCGCCACGATTATTCTGAAATCTGGGAGGAGTATTAAACTGCACTGCATAAGCTTGTGGAAAGGAAGGTGGTGTAGGAAGAAGAGGACCCTGAGATTGAGCAGCAAAGGCCTGAAAAGGTTATTGAGCGGAAGAGACAGAGCTTTTCTTTTTGCGATTCATGAATAATTCCTTGTTAATCAATAGACCATGAAGTTCATCCAGAGTAGTTGAGGAAATGCGTAACATAATAGAATCAATGAAAGATTCATATGCATCAGATAAGCCATTTAGAGTGACATCAACGAGATCATGATCAGAAACTGGTGAACCAGCCGCCATTAAAGCATCAGAAATACCTTTGATGCACTGCAGATATTCAGAGATCGAGAGATCACCTTGAGCAATAGTGTGTAAACGAGATCGGAGTTGATGAATGTGAGCCGCAGATACGCCCCCGAATCGATTCTCAAGATTAAGCCAGAGATCGCGGGATGAAGTCACACCAACAGTAAAGGGAATAATTTCTTCAGAGAGAGTAGAATTAAGCCAAATCAGTATGTTTTGATCTTTCTCATACCAGGCTTCATAGGCAGGATTAGGAGTGCCAGTAGAACGACCAATCGCATCAAGAACATAAGGCGGTGGACAAGGCTCGGAGCCATCAACGAAGCCAGTGAGTTTATAGCGCCGGAAGATCAGAGCAAAGAGAGCTTTCCAGACTAGGTAATTGTCACGTTTCAACTTCGTAGGTACCATACAGCTGATATTCTGAATCGTAATCGAAGAAATGGACGAATTTGAGAAATTAGGGTTCATCGCAGAGAAATTGGGGGCGACGAACTCAGACGATGCAAGATTCGGAGGAACAAGATCAGGAGAAGAAGTGGACGACGCCATGGTTGCAGAATCAAGAGAAAGCTTGAAGATCGACAGAGAGATCGTGAATCGCTCAGAAAAAAAATGAGAGGATCGAGAGGCGGTGAAGCAGAGAGGCGAGTGATACCAAGATAGAAAGAATACTTTCTGTATATTTCATTTCTTAATCAGGAAGTAATACATGAGAGTTTATATACACTTTGCTAAATAAGCTTAGTTACTAATTACTTCAGATTTATCACTAACAGTGTGATTAACAACAAAACACATATGACTAATGTCCAGCTGTTACATAACAGAAAATATCTAAGAGTGAGGTGTCCCTTTAATACGTACCCTTACAGATGACATCCAGCGGCGGGACTATCAAGCTTTCTTCGCTGCTGTAAGGAGGGGTGATTGGAATGAAACGAAGTTGTTTCTTGACCAACACGCCGATGCAACAGGACGAAAGGATTCAATGGGGACAGCTCTTCACAACGCAGTATTAATGGGGCACGAGCAAATTGTGGAAGAGCTGGTGAAGTTGATGACGGAGAAAGAATTGGAGATGCAATCTAGCGACGGTTGGACGGCTCTTGCTTATGCTGCTAGAGACAACCTCAAGATGGTTACATGCATGGTTACGAAGAACACGAAACTACTTGGTATTGCCGTAGAGGGCCGCCAAATGACTCCGATTCTCATCGCTGCTATGTATGATCGATGGGATATAGCTCGGTACCTCTACTCCCACCCTGATTTCCCATTGCAAGATCTAGTGGCATTTAAAGGCGCTTACGGCTCTCAGCTTCTTGCCTTTTGTCTTTTTGCCAAACAATTTGATAACCTAACTGCTCTTAACCGAATCAATTTTTCTGCACTCTGTGTGTGTGTGTGTGTGTGTGTGTGTGTGTGTGTGTGTGTGTGTGTGTGTGTGTGTGTGTGTGTGTGTGTGTGTGTGTGTGTGTGTATGTGTATATGTGTATATATGTATGTGTAGATATATGTGTGTGTGTGTGTGTGTAGGGTAGTGCTATCAACTCACCCATTTTAATTTCTCACGCAATCCTCTTAATTTTCGACCGTTAGGTTGAATGAATTGAAAAAAATTAATAGTCCAAATTAACAAAAATGTTTGAGAGGTAAAAGAATAGGTGTGTGAATTTCCTATATATGAGTAATTTTCATTTTACTACCATGAAGTATTATGATTTTTCAAACTTTCACATATCAAGTTTTTTTTCATCTCAGTGTCACACCTAAAGTGAGGATTGTGGGACACTTTCATACTTATGTTAGACTTTTTGTTAGAACCTAAGTAATGTGGACAATGACTAAGCTCTACGTGACGTGGTGCCATATTTATACGTGGAGCACAAGTAGTCCACCGGGTGCCACGTCATGTGTTAACTTAGATTCTAACGAAAAGCCTAACAGAAGAATGAAAGTGTCCCACAATCCTCATTTTAGGTATGATACTGGGATGAAAAAAAACTTATTATGTGAAAATTTAAAAGCCACGACACTTCAAGGTGGTGAATGAGAATTACCCTATATATACATATATATATATATATATATACATATACATATATATATATATATATATATGATAATTGGTCAAAATACATACGTACAGATTTTGCATGGATGCTACTTCAGTGTATCCCAATGTTGGCATATACTCGAGGCCAAGGAAGATACTCCCCTGTGTCTGCAATTGCTAATGTGCCCTCTGCATTTCGGAGTGGAATGTCTCTCAAATTCTGGCAATCGTTGATCTATAAATGTTAGTAATATCTTCCTTTTTTTCTTACTACCATCAAATTTGGCAACATTATGTTTGTCATGTACAAATATCACCTTTCACATGAAGAGTTTCATAAGGTGGTTCAAATAAGGTAGTCTCCCTAATATATATGTGTGTGTGTGTATATATATATATATATGTATATATATATTTTATAAATCTTATTACAAATGGGTACTACCATAATTGGTCTTTATGTCCAAGACACTATCTACAAAGAAGTATTTTGAACGAGGAAGTCGTATTTTTTGCTAGGTGTACACATAGAAGATGCTGATTCCATCAGTGGTTTTTATATAAATGTTAAAAGTCAAGAAAATGAACAATGCAATCAAGGGAATAGCACAGGTATGTTAGTATGTTACATCTCAAAACTCTAACTACGATTTGATATGTTCAAGACCTTTTCATATGTTTTGCTCTTTTTTTTTTTTGTCGACTTTTTTCAGATATCCTTCTCCTTGTTTTTAGTAATTAGTTAGGTGATATGTGTGGTTTGATACAAATATGGAATCGACAATGAAATGCGGTCGGCCTACCCGATCATAATAAGATGGTACAATAGACAACCAACACAGCTTATCCGAATTCAAACGTGAAAATCAAGAAAAAAAAATGTACCATCTTTATATATAGAGAAAGCATGCCAAAATGGTTGAACATTCGAATATTCCTAAAATGTCATTACTTGATGGAAAAGAACTACAATTACCCAATTAAAATAAAGTCAAAATTGTAAAATAACACAATTCACAAAATTGGAGTTGATTCATAATACTTGGATTCTGATTAGTCAGTATCTAATTTATTCATCATATTATGTGGTCCAATAAGATTATAACACCTGTCTATTTAATTCTTTCTCAAACTCTTTGCCATGTTAACAAACAAACACCCACCTTCTCCTTCCCTTACTCCTGCCATGGCAAGTCTGCAAATTTGAAGCTCTTGATCGGATCCCATCCCAACTCCTCCTCCTCCAACCTCCCTCCTCCGTTGAACCATCCTTACTGAATAGGCAGTACCCAAATACTGTCCATTGGATAGTCATCCTGGAATAGTGTACCGCATAGGTAGAAAAAGTAGCGTGTACATTTACTATCAATTTATCCTTATACTCTACACCAATGAGAAATATTGGAGAAGATAGTTGTGTAAACAGAATGTTTGATGAATTCTTGTTTTTTTTTTTTTTTTAACAAACGATATTATACACTAAAAAGGTGGGGGAGTGGACTAAGCCTCATAATCGAACTTAAGACCTCTCACTTACAAATGAAGAGGAATACCACTAAACCAGAGTACTAAGTGGCTGATGAATTCTTATTGTTAAACATATATCGCTCTTTTGAATGTGTTTTTAAAATGACTGAAAACACTTTTGGTAAAAATATTTTTGAAAAAAATCCTTAGTAAAAATGTTAATAAATTCTAGAAAAACACTTAAAGTGCTTTATGGAAAAATCACATAACTGGTGCTTCTAGTATAAAACACTTAAAGTGTTTTTGGAGCTCAAAAATATTTTCTCTAAATTTGTGTCACATGCGTCGGTTTATTACAAGGACTTCCATCGAGACTTTCAGAGTTTTTAGGTACGTGGACATTATTATTATTATTATTATTATTATGGATAATGATATTCACAATTAACTTCTCACACACCTTAATTTATTTTATTGGATCATGTCTGTTGATTTATCAAATTCGATTGCTATAAATTAAAAATTGTGTATGAAAAATCAGCTCCTATTTTTCATTTGTCAAAACTATCAATTTATTTATTTATTGGTAACAATATGGTTGTGAGTTGTAACATTGGTTTGAATGTCAACGTAGGAATCAACCGCATTCGTGATCTGAAATTGATCCATTGTCGGTCACGCCAAATTTTGGACTTCATGTGTGACGAGATAAAACAGTTGACTGATGAAGAAATGAGGGATGGCCTTGTGTATGAAGCAGTATACAGTGCTGTCCAAAATGGGATTGTTGAGGTCGTTATTGATCTATGTGAAGCCAGACCAGAATTATTGTTCAGAGGCTTAGAGGACGGAAAGAACATATTTTAGTATGCTGTTGAATGCCGTCAAGAAAATGTTTATAGCCTTATATACGGGGTTGGTCAAAGAAATCTCATTACGACTTTGAGAGATAATTCTGACAACAGCATACTACATTATGCCGGGATGTTATCTCCATTGGCAAGCAAAAAGCTTGGTGGTATTGCAGGTGCAGCCTTGCAAATGCAGAGAGAAAGGCAGTGGTACAAGGTTAGAATTATTTTATATTATTCTTGTACGCTTAATTACATTTATGACCCCTGAAATTCAATCCGCATACTTAACCCCATGAAAATCAAATTGTGTCACTTAATGCCGTGAAATTTAACTTCTTACACGCTTTATTCCATGCGATTGCCGTCTAAGAATAATATAAATTCTACCTCATTATATTCATATATCAAGTCAAACATTTTTTTTTCCTTTCTAATTACTTTGAGAACACAATCACCTCATATCACTACGATGTATAAGTTTTTGTTCAATGAAATGCAGGAGGTAGAGAATATTGTGGGCCCACTCTCGGGAGCCTCATCTTTAAACAAAGATGGTTTGACACCCCCATAATTATTTACCGAGAAACACAAGGAATTGCTCAAGGATGGAGAAAAGTGGATGAAAGATACATCGACTTCTTATACAACTGTCAATGCCCTCATTATTACAATCATGTTTGCTGTAGCATTCACAGTTCCTGGTGGAAACCACCAAGAAACAGGGTTTCCCATATTTTTAAACAAAAAGCTATTTATGATTTTTATAGTTTCGGATTCTATTTCGCTATTTTCTTCCGCAACTTCAGCATTGATGTTTTTAAGCATCCATATATCGCGTTATGCTGAAGATGATTTCCCCAAATCCTTACCCACAAAGATGATAACTGGCATTTCCACACTCTTCATCTCCATTGTGGCCATGATGGTTGCCTTTTCTTTTGCCCTATTCATCATGCTTCCGGACAAATCATGGATTATTACTCCAATCATTGTCCTTTCTGGTGTTCCCATCATTTATTTTATTTGGATGCACCCTCCCCTTCTCGGAATTTTCGTATCTACTTATGGTGGAGGAATTTTCGATAGAAAAGTCAAACGCTGGATGTAAATTCTTGATGGTGTATGCGATATATTGTGTAACTGTAGCAATGTAATGATTGTCACCTCTAAGAAAGTTTGTATGCTTGGTACACACTATGTAAGTGTTTGATTCCTCTAATAAAAACCCCATTGTTCAAATGTTTTTTATTTGTTCTCTATAAGATCTAATTTGACTGGAGAATTATCTGTATATTAAATTGACGATCGTTTTATAACATTAAAAAAAAACTTGGGGTTAGAAATTTTATAAGTATGCCAATTTTTATCTAAATCATTTTACAAATAATTGAATTCTTAATTAAAATTTAGTTTAACGTGGAAACAGAAATTACAGTTCAACTGAAACAAAAATTACAGTTCAACTTACACCCCTATGAGAACGTTTATTGTTGTCAAACCCATTGTTTGTTTGATATATTAATCGACTACGATGGTCAATTCGATTTGTGTTGAGTTTGTCATGGTCAATTTAATTTAAGCTTCATATTATAAAAGGGATGTGCTATCCATACACCCGCTTTTATTTCTCACACGCCCTTTGTTAATTTCTGTCATTTGATTTTCTTCAATTCATCTGATCCGATGGTCGAAAATTACAAAGGTGTGTGAGAAGTAAAAAAGGGTGTGTGAATATCACACTCTTTGTAAAAAAAGATTTTTTTTTCTTCTTAAATAATCTTTTTTTTTTGTTTCTTTTTACTTAGGCCAACTCCAAACCTGGGCTAAAAGCCAAATTTTTAGCCCAAAATTCCCCCCAAACACCCCCCAACCCAAGCTAAAATATTGGGCTAAAAGGGGAATGCTAAAGTTGGGCCAAATTCCCCCCCCCCCAAACGCGTGGACTCGCCCCGTTTTGGGCCACTCTCGGCCCGCCGACTCGCGCACGCACCCCACGCGGGCAAGTTGCAACTGTAGCCCGACAGGAAGGGGGCCCAGCGTCAGGGCCTTGTCGGCCACTCACCCGAGCCCAACGACTCTTTTCAAAATCGGACCGCCAACATTTAAGGACCGTTGGATCACCAACGGTCCAGATTCAAATTTCATTTAAAAAAAATATGTTATTTTAAAATACATTGAATCCAACGGTTGAGATTGAATGTAATCAAATCTAACGGCCCAAATTAAAATCAAAAGGCTAAAATAATTAAATAAATTTATTTAACACAAAATTTACCCAAAAACTCTATAAATACCTATGAATTATGTGCTTTATTAATTAAGTTTATTAATTGTCGTTTGTATTAAGTTTATGTTGTTTATATGTTGTTTTATTATGTGGTTTATGTACTTTATTAAATTTATGTCTTATTAATTATTGTTTCTATTTAATCTAGATGTCTTCAATAATTATTGTACTTATAATTCAACCTCCATTCAATAAATTATCCAACGTAGTAGACAAATAACAACATAGTACACTTAAAATTATTACATAAATGCTCAACCAACATCATCAACGTTCACCTTCTCGGCGCCACACATGCTCAACCAAATCCTTGCGGAGTGTGTCATGAATTTGAGGAGCTTGAATTCTATTTAAACGTCTCATATACTCACCCAAGGTGACCCTATCATGTCGGGTCTCATATGTGGTTGGAGCGAGATATTCAACATCTCTTGCAATAGCTCTCGCATGTGTTGGTTGGTCATCATCCACATCTTCTCTGAATCTTCTTCAATTTCGATGTACTCATCTTCCACAATCATATTGTGCAAAATTATGCACGTCATCATGATTGAATGGAGGTCTTCGGGTTGCCAAAATCGTGCAGGCCCTCTAACAATGGCCCACCAAGCTTGTAAGATCCCGAACGCTCTCTCCATATCCTTCCTGTAAGACTCTTGCCTCTGGGAAAATAATTTCTTCTTTGCACTATCGGGATGAGAAAAACTTTTGACAAAGGTAGACCAACTAGGATAAATACCATCAGTTAGGTAGTAACCTAGCTCATACCTATTACCATTTACCTTGTATCGAAATTCTGGTGCCCATCCATTCACAACCTCATCGAACAAAGGAGAAGACCAAAGAGCGTTGATATCGTTGTTTGATCCGGGAGAGCCGAAGAATGCATGCCAAATCCATGTGTCGTAAGATACCACAGCCTCCAGCACAATGGTTGGCTTGTTATGACGGCCCTTGAATTGGCCAGCCCAACCAGTAGGACAATTCTTCCACTCCCAATGCATACAATCGAGACTTCCTATCATGCCAGGGGAGCCTCTTTTGTCTGCCTTGCGTAGAAGCCTTTTCAAGTCTTCACGAGTTGGCTTGCGGAGGTATGTGGCTCCATAGATGGCTTGAATTGCTTGACAGAAGCGCTTCAGGTTCTCAATAGCAGTACTCTCCGCAAGTCGGCAATATTCGTCAGTTGAGTCAGCAGAGCACCCATTAGCTAGCATTCGAAATGCAGATGTGAGCTTTTGATGAGGTGATAGACTTTGTCGGCCTACGTCATCTATCTTCCTTGCAAAGTAGTGGTCATGATTGACAACTGCATTCAAGATGCCTTAAAAAGCTCTCTCCTCATCCGAAACCGCCGCCGAAAATCATGAGCAGGAAATCTCGGCCGCTCAATGAAATAATCTTTCATCATTTGGTCATGACACTCTTCTCTATCACGCTGCTCGAATGAACGCCCCGTGATAGAACCACGATGGCTAGATTCGCCATGGTGCTCATATTGCATAAACGAGTTTTCAAGTTCAGCTTCGGCGTTGATTAGTTCTGAATCCTCAATGTCAAGCCTTGTTTGGTATTGTGCCATCTCCATTGCCCTACTACGCCTTCTTGTATCACCCATTGATGAGATATTGAGAATTTTTAGGAAACAAAAACTCTTTGAAAGTTGAAAGATTGGTGAATATAGAGGATGATTGAAGGTTGAAAGATTGTGTGATCAACTAATATTGGACCTGTGTTTATATAGAGGATGATTGATGAACGGTTGGTGAAAGTTGAAAGTTTGGTGTTGAACGGTTGGTGAAAGATGAACGGTTGGTGAAAGTTGAAAGGTTGGTGAAAGTAGCTTGCTTTGTGAAAAATTTAATGATTTTTCAATATTTATCAGAATTTAAATTTTTTTAGATTAAAATGTTCATAAAATTAATTTACAATAGTCTACATATTTATTTTTATTTTTTTAAATTGATTTAAGAAAAAAATTAGCCTAAGTTCATTCTTTAATAATTCTGAGCTAAAATTTTAGACCAGAAGGGTTGGAGCAGAAAAGATATTTCTGGGCTAAAAGCCAAATTTTCCGGACTAAAAAATTTGGCTTTTAGCCCAAAGGTTGAAGATGGTCTTATGGTGCCAAGTTGGGGTCAGAAGAAATGTGGACTCCATATTTGCTATGTCAACAGTTAATTGTATCTCTTTATTCCAAACTGCCGCAGCAACGTGACTCTTAAAACTCTTTAGCAATTGATGTTTCTGTCGGCCCTCATGGAAAAGGCTCTGTCACTTCGGCATCGACCCCAACATCTATATTGTGAGACGTTGGCTTCAAAATTTGTATCGTCTGTAACCAAGGCGATGGCCCCAACACTAGTATCGTCCGTAGCTTGGATGTCGTCTAGAACACCATCAACAGATGGTTTATCCTCCATGGAACCATCAACCACCTCTGATTCATAAGGGGAGGCAGCCTTTCGCTTCCGCGCAGATGCAGGGGGACGTACCGGAACATTTTTCTCATCAGCATTACTTTTCTTAGATGATCTTGCAGCCTCCTTAGTTTTTCTTGCCTTCTTCATAGCTAGAATTAACAAAGACAGAGAAAACAATTTCGGCTTCGTATTAGAGAAGCATTTTTGTGGAATAAAATGCAAGGAATCATTTTGTGGTGTTCTGCTAACAAATAAAAGGAATAGTATAACTGGAAACTTGAATGGAATCTATTACACTTAATCATGTGTCAACGTAGAAATGTTGTCAAAAAGGAAATGTTCATGTATGTATAAATAACAACAACAAACAAATCTTATCCCACTAAAAGGAATAGTATAACTGGAAACTTGAATGGAATCTATTACACTTAATCATGCATCGACGTAGAAATGTTGTCAAAAAGGAAATGTTCATGTATGTATAAATAACAACAACAAACAAGTCTTATCCCACTAAGTTGGGGCGACTGTATGAATTTTAGAACATCACGATGCTCTGTCACACTGGTACAACACAATCAATTAAGAGACTGCTCAGCTTTGTAATTGCTAAATTGTTGCCTTTTCAAATGATTTCTTGTTTAGGAAAAGCCAGTTAATCAGCCACTTGTGAGTTTAATTAGTAATTCATTAATTTCCACAATAATTTAATGGGTTCCTTTCATTTCCACAACAATTTCAAAATTTTGAACCTTTTTCTAACACAACCAGAACAACAGATGAAAATTCTGAACTTTTTCAGAATCCTAAAAGCCCTAAATTGACAGAAACTGAGAAACCCAGAAACCCTAAACCCCATATTGACAGAAACCAACAGTGCAGAGCAGAAATACCCAATCATTTTGGTCTTGAGTTTGTTTACCGTCAATCATTTTGATCATTCTGTGAAAAATCTCCATTAAATAAGGATAAAATGACAAAAATACCCAATTTTTTGGTCAAATCATTTTAACTTATTGTTTATTATTGAGCATAACTCCGCCTATGTCTTACATGGCCGGTCCCAAGCCCGGATAAAGGAGGAGGGGGAGGGCGTCAGGTAGTCGACAGCCGGCACTCCATGATCACGTCGAATCCTTATGAAAATGAATCCAGAACAAAATCGAGCTAAAGCTAGGGCGTCACCCGTAAGTGGCGCGCTGTGTGGCCTGAGCACAGTGATAAGTGAGCAAGGGTCGCTGTATCTCCATCGGCACCCGGATGCAGTGTTAAATGAGCAAGGGGCCATAGAAACTTCTTTTCGAACGACTCCACTCAAAGTTGTTTGGGAGCATATGCTCCTATCAACTTTACCCGGGACACACACAAAAGAAGTACTTTGATCCTATTAGACGGGGGAGGGTGAAGAAGCTAGGACAGAAGGGTAGAGTTCAAGAGAGCAAAATGCGTTTAGGAACGTGGAATATAGGAACCTTAACGGGAAAATCTATGGAAGTAGTGGAAGTTATGGTGAGGAGAAGGATAAATAT